CCCCCATCGGCAGCCAAGGTCGGCACCGGGAGGGCAAGGGGAGAGCACCGGGCCGGGCCCGGGGATGCTTGAGCCGTCCCGTCTCCGCCCCCACGGGGCGGTGGGGAGCAGCTCGGGGGGCTGAGGGGACCCAGCTGTGTCCAGGGGATGTGCTCAGAGGACCCCAGATCCTCTCTCCGCTTTTTCTCTAGCTGCAACTTGCACGACCACATCCCTGGGAAGACTTTTTTGATCTACATGGATAAATAAGAATTGTTTCCAGTTTTTATGTTGGGGTCCCCAACAGCAGAAGGACATGGACCTGTTGGAGCGGGGCCAGAGGAGGGCACGAAGATGCTGGGAGGGCTGGAGCCCGTCTGCTGTGGGGACAGGCTGAGGGAGTTGGGGGGGTTCAGCCTGGAGAAGAGAAGGCGAAAAAGGGGAGACCTTAGAGCCCCTTCCAGTGCCTAAAGGGGCTCCAGGAGAGTGGAGGGGGGCAGGGGAGCCATAAGACAAGGGGTAATGGTTTTACACTGGAAAAGGGGAGATTTAGATTTGATCTTAGGAAGAAATTTTTCACTCTTGAGGGTGGTGAGCCCCTGGCGCAGGGTGCCCCGAGAAGCTGTGGCTGCCCCATCCCTGGAGGTGTTCAAGGCCAGGTTGGACAGGGCTTGGAGCAACCTGGGCTGGTGGGAGGTGCCCCTGCCCAGGGCAGGGGGTGGCACCGGATGGTCTTTAAGGTCCCTCCCAGCCCAAACCATTCTATGGTTTTAAAGTCTGGTACAAGTCAGGCACATCCTCTCCGGACACCCTGTTTTTCAAAGTGTGTCTTAGCACATCCTCCCCAGAGGGCTGTTGGGTGAGTGGGAGGAAAGGCAAAGCCCGGCCTTCCTCCGTGACTGTGGGCAGGAGGACAGTCGGCGTGTGCCCAGCCCCACATCCGGGGATGGGAGGTGGGTGCTTTTTGCTGATCCCCCGCAGTCTGCTGGAGATCTTTTGTCCAGTTCAGCCTCTGGTCTCTGAGTCGTGCTGGCAGAAGACTTTTGTCCTTTAACTTTAAATCTTAAGAGGTAAATACAATCTGTCCACTAACTGGCTGGATAACATGAAGCGTGTATGAGCGGTACAAAGACCCTGGAATTAAATCAAGACGAAGCACAGGGGGAAAAACAGATGCTTCTTTAAAGCACAGACAAGTGCAGGACTGTTGGTTTTACAGCCCAAATACCATTGCTCTTATTTCAGGGCAGACAGGCAAGCTGATGTACGTGATGCACAACTCTGAATATCCCCTCAGCTGCTTTGCTCTCTTTGAAAACGGTCCCTGCCTTATAGCAGATGCCAACTTTGATATCCTCATGGTGAAGTTGAAAGGCTTCTTCCAAAATGCCAAGGCGAACAAGATAGAGAGCCGGGGCACCCGCTACCAGTACTGTGACTTCTTGGTGAAGGTGGGCACAGTGACAATGGGGCCCAGTGCCCGTGGAATATCTGTGGAGGTAAGAATCGTCTTTGAAGGGTATGAGATAGAACTACAGACAGGGAAATCCCATGCTGGAGGCTAGACGAGAAATGCCCTAGTCCCTTCTGTCTCTCAGTTGTATTGTTGCTGGTCGTTTGTACTAGATGCGTTCCTGTATGCGGCAGGCAGGGTATTTATCTCCTTTTCACAACAAGGTTTTAATTCAGGCAGGTTACTCTGGGGCTCAGCTGCAGCTGTGGAGCAGTCTGTCATTGAAGCATCAATAAACAAAACCCTGAAGGGATGCCATTAAACTAAAAAGCTGCTTAAAGTCCTGATGCACAACACTAGTAGCGCGCTTCAGGTTAATAAGCATACCAAGGGGGACAGAACAACCTCTTCAGCTGCTAATTCTATGCTGGTTTGGGTTTTGCTTTCTTTCTCCATCTTGAGCAGACGCAGCCCCAGGAGAGCAGGGCCCTCTTGCCGCAGGTTCTGCTCACACGGTGTAAAGGTGGTCTTTGTCCTCACCAGAGAGCTTTTGGCAGGCGTCAGTTCTACCCTGTGGCATGCTGACTTGGATTGCTGCACCGTGGGGTGCACCGCGGGCTCAGAGCCTGCCATCAAACCTCTTCCGTGCTCCCTGCTTGGTGCTGCGACTGCTGATGAGGCTCGAGAGCGTCGGCTGCCAGCTGCCGACGGGCGTTTCACAGGGTGGAGGCTGAGCTGAAGCAAACTCTAAAGGGAAATCCAGCGTATACGAAGGGGCATGGGAGGATCTAGGAAGGCATTTGGGGAGATGCTTGGCTGAGTGCAACCGGGAGTCAAAGGCTCACAAGCTGTGGATAAGCCTCAACTGGGCTGAAAAGCATCTTGGAAAAAGACAAGGAGCTAGGCTGCACTGGTAGGGGAAGGGCAAAGCAGAGCAGGTCAGACTCCAGACTTTAGATATATTGGGGCCTAGCAGTATTCAAGATAGCTGAGAATTAGATGCTTAAAAGTCCTTCAAAAATCAGAGCATATGCTTTTCTAAACATACAAATCCTATTATCTGATATACAATTAATAATCACACTGCGTCTACTGAGGCAGGTGTTCCTAGCCAGCAGGGAGGAGGATTGAGAAATGGCTTATTTCTTCACTGTAATAAACACAGATGTTGTAGCGCCAGCATTGCTGTTGACCTGGGGTTAAACAGAAGCTTGTTTTATGCTAAGCCTGAGTTCAGGACCAGATTTGCCAGACCGTCTGGCTGTTTCTGTTTTAGTTTAGTACTTTTTTCAGGGTTTGCATTAGGACCTACTCCTGATTTGGGACCAGACTCGTATTTCAGAAAACACTTCAAGTCCTTAAGTCCCAAGGCTATTTCCAGTACGGTCCTGAAAGAAGGCACAGCCACGCTAGTCATTGACCTGCCAGCATGTGGGAATGAAGTTTGGTTTTCGATGGGGTAAAGCTAACATGGTCTTTGAACCAATGTCCCAAGACCTCCACTCTTGAGGATTTAATACAAGCAATGCCCTCACAGGGTACATCTCACATCCCCTTCCCTTTTGAAGGGATTGCTTGCATGTTCCCAGCATGTCCTATTCATTTATATTTGTCCAGCCTTGTTATATGCTAAGTATTCTCAGATGTTTTTATGACAAGCATTCTCTCTCTAGTGAAGCAGAGAGAGGAAGGCGCGTTGCCTCCTGTGTGGTTATTGCCCCTGCTGGGAGCTTCAGGGCTGTGGTTTCTGTTGCCAGGTGGAGTACTGCCCCTGTGTGATAGCCAACGACTGCTGGAACCTGCTCATGGAGTTCATGCAGAGCTTCATGGGGAACCACACTCCCGGCATCCCATCCGTGTTTGGTGCCAAGCACGACAGCATCTACAGCCCAGCAGACACGATGGTTCAGTACATGGAGCTGTTCAACAAGATCCGCAAGCAGCAGCAGGTGCCGGTAGCGGGGATCAGATGAAAGGACTCCCTGGAGCCTGGTTTAGAGCAACTGCATCCTTTTTTCTGCCTGCCCATCTGGATCAGAAGTCCCTCCAAAAAGCGGCACTGGAGGCAGCCCAAGGTTTTTTTTCTACTCAGTCTCTTTCCCCTGTTTCAGTACATATTTCTTGTTGTCCTCCTTCATGGTTTTGAGTGTGTCTGGGATCAGGCCCGTGGTTCTGATGGTTCTTTGTACAGTGCTTCGTGCAGGGGATTACTGTTCGTCAGCAGAACGTGAGAAAAGGAGAAATTCCAGCCAAATGCATGCAAGGGTAGAGTTTCCTTGACTGCAAACAGCTACATGAGAAAGGTTTTTTAATATTATTTTTTTTTTAGATATTCGTCTGAAAGTGTCTTGTTATTTTTCATCAAAATAAAAAGCTTTATTTTGTGAGGAGATGGAGTCTTTCTGCTCAGCAAGTATTGTGCTGTTTTGTATTGTTTGTTTACAGCTTTTGAAATTTTCTGTTGCATGGAGACAATTCTTCAGCAGAGTTTTATTTTTTATTTGGTTCAAGAGCTTTATACCCCTGAAGCAAACTAATTTCCCTGTGGCAAAATCTACAGGAATTCTTGCATTTCTATTACGGGTATGTTCTTAGCTTGCCTTCATCTTTTATATCTGATTGGAGTATTAAAATCTCCTACCTCTCAGATTATACTGATGAAATCCCGTGATAAATAAATAAATAAGCCTGTCAGGAGTCCTCTCATGCATTGAAAGAGAATACCAGCTACTTTATCTCTTTTTTTGAAAGGTCGGTAATAAACGTCCTATCCCTGCACACCGTATCTCATTTGAGAAATCCTGGTGACTTCAGCAGATTTAATGGAGTAAGGAAAGATTTGGGGAATAAGAGCCAAAAATTTATCATAAGGCTTAACTATGTGATATCACTTGAATATTTTTTTTTAGTGGTGATTTGTTTTTAGAGCAGGAAAACCAGGGAAACTAGATCCCTTTTGAGCTATCTGTCCCCTTGGTTTTACATGTTTGGGATCTATGTGGCTTGTAGCTGTCATTTTTTTCCTCTACTCCCTGTTCCACCCCCTGCTTGGTCTTAGAATATGCAGCAACACCCTCATTCAGCCACCAACCTTTGCGCTGAGCTTCCTTCGTGATTCCTGGGAAGACTGTGTGTAGCAGGGTTCCAGCTCTGCAGCCCCGTATCCCGGACAGAAGGGGTGGGTGTAGAGAAGGTCTAGGGATGGTTTCAGGAAGGGTGATTTGCAAGGACAGCAGGTTCCTTGTGAAGAAGTAGTGTGCATCTTGCTCACAGAAAATATTGTTGGTTCCTTCCCAATACACGGGTCTTGAAGAGTCTGAAGAGCAAGTAAAACAGAAATAGATTTCTCCTAAATAGATTTTTCCTTCTGAAGCAGGAAGTTTTGTTACCTGATTTGCTGACTGGTGGAGAACTAGTTACTTAGATATGACTTCTTTGTGATTATCAGTTATACCTGTAAACCTAATTAACTGTTAGAGTGCCTAGAGCTTTTAGTGAAGGCATTTAATAAACTTAATCAGCACTGGATCCAGAAAGATCTGGTTAATGAGCCATAATAAATGGCGTAATGTACCATAAGTGTGTTAGAAATTCCAACATGCTGAATATACTGAATTTTTGCAACTCTTAGCTCGAGTTCATGACATGGGTGCTGACTTCAGTGGGACAGTTAATTTTCGGTGATGAAAATTCAGTGAGAATCTGACCTTCTGTCTTTCCACATAGTTAAGTGTGGCTGGGAAAACTTATGAAAACAAACTGTAGTCTTTGTAAGGATAGTTATTTCTGTCCTGTTTCCCATTTTAATTAAGCCTTAAGGTTAAAAAAACCCGTTTTTAATGACCAGATTAGTCATGGTGAATGTTACTAATGCTTTATTAATTCCCGAAAGATGCGTTCTGTAACCAGAGATGTCAAAACTCTGGTCACATGTCTTAAAAACATAAAACGTGTGCTGGAATCTCTGGGGACTTCTGTGCTCTTATTAATACATTGTACTGTTCCTAGAGTAATAAAATGGGACCCCTTGAGCTACATTCTGCCTTCAATTACACCATTACAGCCATTGACGTCAGTAGGTTTCCACGGGTGTATAGATGGGTAGGATTTAGCCCTTTATGTCTTAGCAAAAATGTCTCTTGCTGTAACTGCATTCTGTGAATGAGGAGATCAGCTGCCCCATGTGAGGGGCTACTTTTACTCTGGGGCTTTTTACTTTCTTTATGGACAAAATAACTGTTTCAATCTTAGCTGCAGTAATCCTCCTCATTCTGCCACCCCCCAGCATCAATATGGCAAGTTAACGTGGCTTCAAACATGCTAGTCTGCATCTTAACAAGTCTTCAGGGGGCTTTCAATTGTGCTATGTTAATGGATTGAGCCAGCATAATTGAAAACCACCCTAATTTTGCCTGTCAAGGCATGGTCTGGAAGGTTGTTTTCCTGTTGCTCCCTAGTGTTTTCTCAGAGAATGCAAGATCTAGAGGGAGAGGTGGCCAAGCTGTAGCCCTGTACCACTGTGGATCCTTTTGTCTGCTTCTGCACCTCTCAAAAATCACTGGTGGTGGTGGTGTTGCTTTCTGTGAGTTGAAGCCTGACCTAGAGGGGACTGGGGATCTTGAGGACGTGTGTCTAGTCCTTGCATCATTCTAGT